TATTATAAATGACAAAAAGTTCTTTCAGCTACTTTAAGAGTAGAAATGTACATTGAGATATGAGTCAGATATTTCTAGGTGAGAATAGTGATAATAATGAAAAAGGCAGTATTTTCACTTTTACTATTACTGAAAAAGAAATAAAGACCCAGAAAGACTAGTGGATTATCCAAAGTTCCAGCGAGTGGTATACAAGAGACCTAGGTCACCTGCCTAGTATCTTCTATGAAGTTAAAAACTGCACTCTGAAACAAAAGAAAGTCAAAGCAAGATGCCTAGAAATTTAGACTGGCCAGTTTGTATTTTATTATAGGTAACATAATACAAAGAATCATATCATTGCAGCTTTTTTCATGCTTCTTATTTGAATTCCTTTTTATTTCTTTTGGTTTGCCCTTATCCTTTACTAAGAATTTACTTTTGCTAGGCCTACACTACTACTACTACTACTACTACTACTACTACTACTACTACTACTACTACCACTACTTCTCCTTCCACTTCCTTTTCCTCCTCCTCCTTTCCCTCTTCTTTCAAACTTTGCCTCTCCTCCCCCCTCCTTCCTCTGCCTCCTCCTCCTCTGTCTTTCTCTTTCTCTTTCTCCCTCTCTCCCCCCCCCCCCCCCTCTTTTAAAGGAGCACAATTACTCTGGAAAGCCAGGTATATTTATGCCATAGGTATCAGTCTCTCCAGGAAACCTTTTCAAGGTTATGTGGTGGTTTCATTTTCTCTGTAAAGAAAGTTGTTGCCTTTAATTTTCTTGAATTTATTAAGCTGGAGTCTTTTTCCTGGGATGGTTTTAATCTAACACTAGTTTATAATATTGTTACTATAGGCCAGTCTTCAATGTATCTGATTTAAAAAAATGGGCATTTCATCATATTTAACAGTTTCTTTAAACCAGTGGATAGATATATAGATTTAAAATATAGTTTTATCCTATTTTCTATTATAAACCCTTAATTTGGTTTTTGGTGTTACTGTTTAAGCAATACATTGAAGGACTTGATTTTTTGTTTTAAAAAAAGATATGGAATATCCTAGATACATACTTAGTAACTTACTTTGACTTAGGGCAGCAAAGCTCACTTATAGGATCACACTTTCAGAAGTAAAAAAATTGAAAGTTGAGTCTGCAAAGCTAGACTTCATAACAACAGGAAACATCCCACCTACAATGCATATGGCAATGGAGAAAGGCAGTGTAGCAGACTATAGACAAAAATAATAGCTGGCAGTGAAAATGAATATTCTACTTTACAACCTTAGATCTGTCATCTCAAAAATAAACAGTCTTTCTTCCAGATACAGTGTGGTAATATGAACATGCTTTAATTTACAAGAAAAACTTTTCCTTATTCCACTTCATTTTTTGGGGGGTGGTGGTGGTGGTCATTCATGGAGCTTGAACTCTAGGCCTGGGTGCTGTCCTTGAGCTCTTCAGCTCAAGGCTAGTGCTCTACCACTTGAGCCCCAGCACCACTCCAGTTTTCTGGTGGTTTATTATAGATAAGAGTCTCACGGACTTTCCTGCCCAGGCTGGCTTTGAACTGAGATCCTCAGATCTCAACCTCCTGAGTAGCTAAGATTACAGGCGTGAGCCACCAGTGCCCAGCTCCATTTCACATTTTTTACATTATTTTTAATTTGGATATAATGTGTCCTGCACATAGGTAAACCTTATTTTTCTGACATACATGTTTTCTTTCTTATAAATGGATATTGTTTTCACTTTAATCACAAGCCAAATTTTAAGAAATTCATTATGAAATCTCTAAATAGTGAAAATGTTTTCCTGAAGAATTCTTTTGAATAAAAAACTCCTCTGAGGAATTAAGTGTCTGTAAAATCACTTCTTGGCTAAAAGAGATATGAAAATGACTAAAATGTAGGAAGTCATTGCAGCTGAATAGTAATCAAAAATGAGATAAGGGCCTGGGAAGGTGGCTCAATGGTAGAGTGCTTGCCTTGCATGCATGAGGCCCTGGGTTCAATTCCTCAGCACCACAGGAACAGAAAAAGGTGGAAGTGGCACTGTGGCTCAAGTGTTAGAGTGCTAGCCTTGAGCCGTAATGCTGAGGGACAGCTCCCAGGCTCAGAGTTCAGGTCCCATGACTGGCAAAAAAAAAAAGGAAAATCACTACTACAATTTTAATTAAAACTTACTGAAAATTATTCTGTACATAGAAACTCCATCTGTGTCTAATGTTTTTGAATTACAATCTTTGAAAATAGTTTGTAGAGTCAATAAGAAAATAGTATTTGAAACAAGGAGATACATGCTATAGTTAAATGTGCTTATAATAAGTGTAGTTAAGTATAAGAGTACTGCCCTGTTGTGTTTCAAAATACGTTTTCCATGCTTTGAGAAAAAGTGATTTTGGCCATTTGTTCTCATTTTCTAAAGGGAACTATAGTCATGTATAATACTGGACTATTCTCTAGTTTGGTGGTAAATGTTCAAAGTACTTTACAGATATTTAATATATGTTTTAATTCTTTAATATTATAAATAAAGCCATATCTATTCAACTTGAAAATATATAATAAAGGGACAGAGTAAAGTATCCAGCCTGTGATCCTCTAGTTATATATTTCTGCTATCTTAATTAACTAAAATTGACAGTAACTTTGAAATGTTTAATGTGCATTCACAATCATTATTAAGATTAATTATAGTTAGACAAAGTAATTTCTACTAATGACAGTGTCATCTTTTATTATATATATTTATTCATTGATTGATTTTATTTTTTAGCGTCAGCATTTACAAGTATGGCCTAGTGATGGCTCACGCCTGGAATCCTAGCTACTCAGGAGGCTGAGATCACAGTGCAAAGCCATTCCAGGCAGAACAAACTCTGTGTGACTCATCTCCAATTAACAACTCAAAAACCAGATGTGGAGCTGTGGCTAAAAGTTAGAGTGCTAGCCTTGAGCAAAAGAGCTCAGGGAAAGCAGGCCCTGAGTTCAAGCCCAACAACTGACCCCTCCCCCCCCCCCCAAAAAAAAGTGTAGCCAGTATTTTTCCTGTCTTTTTTTTTTTTTTTTACTAATTACAGCACCAGAATTACAATACATGTTACATTATATATGTGCATATATGTATGCATGCACATATATGCACATATGTAACGTACATGTGTGCATGTAGTACGTATGTGTATACAAATACAATACACTGTTTGTTTGCTTTTTGGCAATACTAGGGTTTTGACTTAGGAACTTATGTTTGCCTGGAAGGCATTCTACTGCTGAACCATGGCTATTTTGTGCTGTTTCTTTTTGAAATTGGGCCTCATTTCCTTCCACAGTACATCCCTAGGCCATGATCTAATTCACCTATTTCATATTTCCATTTATAACTAGAATAACAAGCATTTGTCATGTGTCACCAAGTTCTGCTTCTCATTGAGAAGTTTCAATGAGACTTTTCTGCTGGAGTTAGCCTTTAACTGCAATCCATTCAGTCTCCCAAGTAGCCAAAATTATAGACATAAGCCACTAGTGCCAAGCAGTTTGTTAATTTATTAAATTGGTTACTCCACCCTTAATGTATTAAAGCAATACTTACATTTATTTTGCATATAACTTCTTTCTCCTAGTTCTACCATAATAATTTTGGCCTAGTATACATGTTATATTCATATATACCAACCTCTAACTTCTAAAAAAGAATCTTTGAAGATGGGACCCTAATGTTTTTATTGTTAAAGGTTCCTCAGGTGATGCTATTGTATAACTACTGAAAATTTGTTCTGCTGCTAAGATCCTCTATGTTAGCATTCCGTACCTTGAGGGATCCTTCAACATCAAATTCACAAGATGTTGGAGGACTGTTGGTAATACAGAATCTGGACTCTAACTTGTTTAGAAAATGACACTAGGATATGATGAGAAATTCATGTTAAGGATGACCTCTTGTTCCTCACTTTTTTGTAACTGCGACTAGAACAAGCTAGATGAGAGCAGCCTAGGGAAAAATTAGTAGAGTGCCCTCTTATGGGTAAGTGAAGTTTAAGTGAATTTCGAAGTTTCAGGAAAAAAAAAATTTAATAGCAGATTATATAGTTTTAGGTATGTCTTCAAGTCCTTGAAGTGGATTTCAGAAGAGCTCCATCATGGATGGAGTCTCCTGGGAGAAAGATCAAAAACCAAGTATTACTAGGACATCCGTTAGCAGTGGTCTGGTACATACCTGTGTGCACATGTCGTACTCATATGTTCATCCACATCACCTGTTGTTTCTTTTTTTTTGACAAGTGTTAAATATTCTTTATTTGAGATTTATACATAAGCCACACTAAAATGGCTTTCTGTAAGTAAAAAGCAGATTTCAGAGAAAGGGAATTCTAATTAAATTGGCATAGTCAAGACCAAAAATACAGACATTGTTCCTCATCTTCAGCCATTGCATTTAACAGGTTAGTTTTGCTTGGTTCTGAGACAGTAAAGGGATTTCCTCAGTATTTAATGATGTTCTCATAATTCGCCATATAAATCTGAATATAAAACCAATCTTTAACAGATTTGGAGATGGTATTATTCCCTCCTTGCTGAAAAATTGAACATTAGTAAGTCCAATCATATAACAGAAGGAGGGAAAAAGTGACAGTATTTTTTTTGGGGGGGGGGGGAGTCCAGTCATGGGGCCTGAACTGTGGGCCTGGGCGCTGTCCCTCAGCTCTTCAGCTCAAGGCTAGCGCTCTACTACTTGAGCCACAGCACCACTTCCGGCTTTTTTCTTTTTGCTTATGTGGTGCTGAGGAATCAAACCCAGGGCCTCAGGCATGCAAGGCAAGCACTCTACCACTGAGCCACCTTCCCAGCTCTGTGACAGTATTTTTTTTTTAAGATCATATTAACTTAGCCAGAGCTAGTTTTACTTAAATCAGGACTGTCCAAAAATATTCTGCCAGCCATTCATGATCTGAAATCTGATATTAGAAATCAATTGAATTATGTACACATTAAAAAGCCATGAGACATTTGTTTTGCAATAAATAACTAAGGCAGTGGCTATTACTCATTTGTAGCTTTTCTGAGATAAGCTATCAAATCTGCCCATTCTCCCTTCTTCTGAATGCCAGCGAAGATCATTTTTGTTCCAGGGATGTACTTTTTGGGGTTCTCCAAATACTCCATCAGTGTATCCTCTCCCCAGGTGATTCCTTTGTTCTTGTTGGCATCTGTGTAAGTGACTCCAGCTGCTTGACCAGTCTTCCAACCAAACAGACCACGGAGATTAAGCCCAGTCTTGTGCTTGCCTCCCTTTTCAATGGTGTGGCACTGGGCACACTTCTGAACAAAAATCTTCCTGCCTTTCTCAAACTCACCCATTTTCAATTTGCTCCTTCCTCACTATCACAAGAAGGATAACAGCTCCGAAGCCAGACGTCCCTCGCTCTCCATCTATTGTTTCTAAAGCAAATGATGCCTGTCTCTATTGCTTTTCTTCTGCTTCCCTCTTATGTTTTTTTCTTTTCCTCTAAAAGTACCAGCAAAAGAATCTAATGCAAACTTATACTTGAACGTCTTTAAGGAGAACAGACTTTATCCTTAAGCTGAGATTAGTATACTAACAGGAAAGACATTTACATTGAGGTCTTTTCATGGAATAGTCGAGTCTTTTAGTTTTGATGTTTCTGTTTTTGCTGTTTGGTTTGCTTTGAATGGTTGGATTTATTTGGTTTGATTTTTGTGGATTCTGGAAGCAGTGACTTGTATCTTTTTATATATCCTTGACTGACCATGAACTGAGAAGATCCTACTGTCTCAGTGCTAGGATTATATATTTCCTAATATGGTCTTTTAACAAGTAAAATTTCTCTTTTTTTGTATATTAATCTGAGAGAGTGGCAAAGATAGATAAGTTGAACCTAATGCATTTTAGTTTGTTGTTTAATTATGAACAGAAATATAAAAGATCTGAACCAATTAACTTTTAGCTTACTAAGCCTTTGTGAATAGTTTTGTAGATAAGATAAATATATAGTAGTTTTGCTCTAAGAAGATATAAAATACTTCTTTCACAAAATATGGATATAAATAGTAAATACTTATCGTAATCAGAATATATGTGGTTATGTTACTCTGCTGAAAAATATAATTTTTCTTTTCTCTAAGTGATTATACATTTCTATCCTTTGTTGACTTTTTCTTACCATTTATTTTTAGTATCCATAAGACATTTCAAAGTTGAATTCTGTTTTATGTGATGGATGAGTTTATGCCTCTGTGTGGAAAAAAGAAGTTTATGATTTCTTAATGATAAAATGTTTCTCACAACAATGAATAAAACATATGGAACTTCAATTTTTAATTTTTTAAATAATATCATTTGGATACCTAAAGGTATTTAAGCTACCTTTTCAATACAAAGATAGTTTTAAAATTTTCACATTACCACGACCCATTGTATTATTTTTTTAAACTATGAAATTCTACAAGTAAGAGAAAATTAACAAACTTGGAAGATGAAGTAGGAGCTTCCAAAAGGTAAATAAAACAAGTATAGTTCTTAAAATTTCTTAGATGCAAAAGAAACTTTGGTGTAATAAAGCTGTGAATTTTTGATGATTGTACAAAGACTCCAAGGGACTATCTACACCTAAATATAAGAAAAAGAAACTAGTAGGTCTAAAAGAAAACATGATTATGTGGTTGTGATTTGTTGTGTTTATCTATGTATCTTCACTGTCTTTGAAAAATCTGATAAAATCATTAGACTCTTAGGGTTGGGTATCTATATTAAAAATCCTACCTGGGTTTCTTTGTATAGGTAATGGATTTGTAAGTCTAAGTCTTCTGTAAACAACCTCCTAGACTCCTGCAGCAGACTTACCCGAGTTGTCTATTAAAATGCAGACTAATGGACTACAACCCAACCTATGTTAGAATTTTTAATGAACTAGGCTTGAGAATCATGTCTTTAATGATACAATTTATGAATGACTACTCTAGAATTTTGAGGGTAATTTCTGTCCTACTTGTTGCTAGGTACAAGATATTGTAATTCCTAAGTAAGTTACATTTAATTTACTATGTATTGTTTTTAACAGTTTCTTACCTACCTATAACATATCAACTACCTGTCATTGGTGTTAATGAGCACCACCTTATAAAGAAATGTAGTTAATTGTTGTAGGCTGACCATGATGTTAATGAAAAGAAATAAGTTGTAAGAACATATTAGATACTGTCTTGTTAATATAGCTAATATAGAGGTTGAGTAAATTTAACTTATTTCTAGTCATAAGTAAATGCACTTATTTGCTCTCAAAGGGCACCTGCAGTTACTCAAGTTTAATAGGCATCAGACTGGGATTTCCAGTGATAGCTAGTTAAAAGTTCTGCTAACTCAGAATAAGTGAGGTCAGATATAATAGGAATTTTAGAGAAATATAATGTACTGATTTGAAAGTATATGCAACTTAGCTTCAAATGTATCTAAGGGTCTGAACTGTCTCTATAAACAGTTATCTATATTTGAATGATGCAAGACTTAGTTTTAATGACACAGACTAAGTGGTAGTATATAAATTAGTGCTTCTAAAAGTGTTACAAAACTGACTGAAAATAATATCCAAAGTTTGTCCAAATACTTCCAATTCTTTTATGATCTTAATTTATTTTTGTTCATTTATATTATAGATAAATTTAGATTTGAGCTTTATCTGAGTGGACATAAGCCACTATCTTGATACAAGTTTTTAGGTCAGAATTAATAGAGCAGAGTTTTTTTTTTCTTTTTCTTTTTCTTTTTTTATTTGTGAAAATACCCTATAGAGGGGTTACAATTAATGGGCAAGGTAATGAGTACATTTCTTATCAAGCATTTTTGCCTCCTCCTTTGTTTCCCCTTCCCATCCCTTTCCATCTCCTCCCCTTCTTCCCCCCTACTCCCCCCCCCCCGAGTTATTTAGTATTTAGCATAAACACAATTAAACTATGACACTGTGAGACAAATTATAGGTCTAGCTTTCTAAGGACTTTTTTTTTTAATAGAGGAAAATATCCCTAGTGAAGGATTACACTCTAATATTTAGTCAACATTTTCTTCAAAAAAGAGGATTAGGGGGCTGGGAAGGTGGCTCAGTGGTAGAGTGCTTGCCTTGCATGCATGAGGCCCTAGGTTCCATTCCTCAGCCACCACATATGCAGGAAAAGCTGGAAGTGGCGGTGTGGCTCAAGTGGTAGAGCACTAGCCTTGAGCTGAACAGCTGAGACACAGTGCCCAGGCCCAGAGTTCAAGCCCCATGACTGACAAAAAAAAAAAAGATCAGTTTATACCAGATTAAATGATGTGTTGCTTAATGAAAGATATTTATTGCTAAGAGAGAATAAAAAGTGATAAGAGGGGCTGGGAAGGTGGCTCAGTGGTAGAGCGCTTGCCTTTCATGAACAAGGCCCTGGGTTCGATTCCTCAGCACCACATATGCAAAAAGAAAAAAGCAGGAAGTGGCGCTGTGGCTCAAGTGGTAGAGCACTAGCCTTGAGCTGAAGAGCTGAGGGACAGTGCCCAGGCCCAGAGTTCAGGCCCCACGACCGGACCCAAAAAAAACAACAACAAAAAGTGATAAGATCATTATTAGAGATAGAAATATCACATGTATGTGGCAAAAGTTCATACTATTGTTATATTAGTCCTTTGTATAATAAAAACTCATTAATATTCATCTGTATTCCTTAAAAGGAAGTGAAAATTAGTTCAGTAAAGATTATTATGTAAAACTTATTCTTAAGTTTTTGTCCTTATTTATAGAAAAGTATATAAAATATTCAGTAAGTTTTTTCTATATTTATGAAATCCAAATTTATATAAAATAATCATTACCTATTCTGCAAACATTAAAATTTAATTGGTAATTTTCCCACTGCCTACTATTTCTGACTAAAACTTGATTTTACAAGTTGACACCACTTTTTATATTTTGTTTACGTTTTTGTGGGAGTTGCTAAATTCAATATCATTGTTACTTTTGACATTTTCTTCACAAGTTCCTCAAAGAAACATACACATACATATGCATACACATAAACGTGGCATATAATTTCATAAAGAAGTATGTATAATAGGCATATAGTAGTCTATAATTTAATCTATCCAGTAACACCAAGTCAGTCACTATTTTATTAGCATAAATTTATTTGGGTTTTCATTTTTGGCAATGCTGTGGTTTGAATTCAAGACCTTAAGTGCGAGCTAAGAAAGAAAGGCATTATACCAATGAACCACACCTGCAACTTTTATTTTGTCTTTTATTATTTTTCAGGTAGGGTCTTCCTATATTATACATCACATAGTACTTGGATGACGAACACCACCACACCTGACATTTTTCTTTTAAATGAGGGTTTTCTTTTTTTGCCTTTGCTATCATGAAACTATGATCCTCCCATTCTCTACCTTCTGAATAGCTATTGTTACAAGCATGCTGTACCACACCTACTGTTCAGTAAAACATTTATTCCCATTTTACTGATTAGAAAACACTTTTAGGTGAACAAATTCAAGAAAGATTATATGAGTAGTAAATTTTAAAATCAAATTATATTTTGATACTTGTTTTTGTATTTTTTTTTTCTGGTCCTGGGCTTGAACTCATGGCCTGGGAGCTGTTCCTAAGCTTCTTTTTTTCAAGGCTTATTGCTCTACCACTTGAACCACATTGCTACTTCCATCCTTTTCTGAGTAGTTAAAGTTAATTGGAAATAACAGTTTCTACTCAGGCTGGATTTGAACTACAGTCCTCAGATCTCAGTCTCCTGACTAGATACAGGATTACAGGCATAAGCCAGTAGCCTCGAGCTGAAGAGCTGAGGGACAGTGCCCAGGCCCAGAGTTCAAGCCCCATAGCTGACCTCCCCCTTCCCCCAAAAAAAGATATTATCCAGATACAGGCATAAGCCTCTGGTTCCCAGCTAATTTCAATACTTATTAACCACTATATTTTAATTCTTTATTAACTTTGAAAGTATGTTAAAGTATGAAAGTGTGTATATATATATTCATTCCTCATTTCCATGAAGATATTAAAAACTATTCAGCTGCTTACTTTAAGCTAAACAGTTGTGGACCCTTAAATATATATTATTTAATTCTTAAGTAAAATGGGTCTTGTTCATTGTTTTCTCCAGACTTAAGTTTAGTCACATTTCTGTATAATTTTTAGTCTGTGAGACTAAAATTATATAGAATGTGATTAGACTAATACCTGATACCATAGTGCTTATGACTGGTAACTGAAACATTGAACTTGAATTGGGTCATATTCTCAATTAGACTGGAGCTCAATTAATTGGTTCAGTATAAGAGGTAGATAGACTTGAGAAGAGAG